TGTTTCAGGCTAAAGGGAAGCCTGGGCACTACCACTCAAATGGGGAAAACTAATGGGAATTGTAACTATGCAACTTTTGAAGGGCTAGGCCTCCGCACCAAAAGCAGAATGCATATTACATTACCGTTTTAAAGTCAGGATGAGCGGAGCAGGAATAGGCCTAACGGTCTGAACCAAAGTCAAGAGGAGAAAAAAGCAAAGCCCTTCACTGCTCCACTTGTCCAGAGATCATCATGTTCTATGAAAACTGCTTTCTTACTTTTCCTATGTGTGTGGCGACAGGGTAATCCAGAGGGAAAATATCTGATAACAATTAGGAACTTTACATGGAGAACACTCCAAAGCATCAATTTGTGGTAGAGTCCCAGGTGATCTTTTTAAGTGCTAGAAATATTAATTTTCAAATAGTGCAAACCCTCAGATTCTGTTGGACTACTAACTATAAGGTTGGCAGTTCAAATCCATCAACAGCTCTGCGTGAGAAAGATGAGGCTGTGTGCTCCTGCAAAGACTGACAGCCTCAGACACCCACATAGGGAGGCTGAGTCAGGATGAGCTTGATGGGGGGAGTTTGGTTTCGGGGTGTTTGGCAGCATCTGAATCTGAGAAGAAATCTAGAGAGCTGCATGTACACATGTGTGTGCATGCATCCGCGTATGTGTGGGGTTTAAGAATTTCCACATGCTGACATAGAGACTCCATCAGGCATAAGGTAGGTGTCTGTCAGTTTGGTTTTCATCATGCCATTTTTGTCTCTAAAGTCCCCACATGAAAAGACTGGCTTTGAGTCCATCGGAAGAGCGTGCCATAGTCAGTGAGGTCATAGGGGACATCGTGCTGGGGGCCATCCAGGATTAGCTCATTTCTGAGATGAGATCTTGGTATGGAATATACAGTGGATGGAGAAACAACGCTGTGGGTCAGATAACAGTACGGAGAGTTCTTGATCATGAATTCTATGTACTGGCAAAGTGACAGCACCTTAGTGACACACCTGTGATAGGCACACTGGGAAAATGCCCATCGAATGAGATGGCTGGATCATGTGAAACATTTTCACTTTGGGACTGAGGCGGGAAAAGGGGCTCTCTGGTTATATTTTAGATAATAAGTGGGTAATACATATAGAATAAATTCTAAACCTGTGAAACTGAAGATAAAACATCAATTCTGATTATAATTGCACGTAATACCATCAACTTCAAGTTAAAAAGCCAGGCTCTGACTGTTTAACTTGAATCTTCTGTTGGAAAATGGATGGTTCAGACAGGTGGTTAAGGCTCAGCTTCTGGCCTCCCCTCAGTAATTAGCCATAGGAATTACTTCTGCGTTTATACATCCAGGAGGGAGACTCCACGACTATGCTTTCCTTCCCAAGTCTGCGTCTCTGCGGTACCAGAACTGCGTGTACTAATCAGTTCCCTAGCCACTGTCATATGGAGAGAGAGTCTGGCCGTCTTGCTCATTTTCCACTTTGAGAAACTCTAGGCAGGTACAGCAAGGTTGTAAAACTGCTTGGCTGTGCCAACCAAAGCTAAATACTTATATGCCTGAAGACTCAAACATGCCATCCCTGAGTATGTACCAAAAAGGGCTGCCTAACGACCTGTTCTAGAAAGTTCAAAGCCACATTGGTCATTGTAATGAATACCTGGGACCACCCACATATCTACAAACAGTAGAATGGCTATGTGCTTGTGGTCTAGTCACACATAGAATGATACGCAACAATAAGAATGAGCAACATATAGCCACACAATAAAGTGAATAAATTTCTCAAACAATACTGAATAATAGAAATCAGACAGGGGGAGGGAGGTGGGGAAAAAGAGGAGCTGATCCCAAGAGGTCAATAGAAAGTAACTGTCTAGAAAAGAACGATGGCAACATAGGTACAAATATGCCTGATACAATTGACGTATGAATTGTAATAAGCATTGTAAGAGCCCTCCATAAAATGATCAGAGAAAATAAATCAGATAAAAGAGGAGGTACTATGATTCGAGTTACATAAACTACGAAAGGGCAGCTGGATGTGAAACCGATGATCTGCTCTGTAAACCTTAACCCAAAATCCTGTTAAAAACAAAGGCAATCGGTGTCTGTTTTGAGAATGAAAAGCAGTGGTGATCTTAGGGGAGGTGTGACTTAAGTGACCGGGGTGAAGGAGGTGGGTTCCTGGGGTACTGATAATGCCCTTTCCACGATCAGGGTATTTCTGACACGAGTGTTCAGTCTGTATCTTGAGATGTATACTTAAGATAAGTGTAATTTTCTACAAATGTATTATACTTCCTCAACACCAATTACAGCAATGGACACTCCTCCAGCTCCACGTTATTCAACAATATTAAAAACCAGAGGATCAGGATATCAGGATTCCTGACGTCCATGTTCATTCCACATCTGCCACGCTGGACTGGTTCCAGTTATGACTGAGTCCTCAGATCACAAGGATCTAGAGATAGAACTGGTAATACCAGTATGTCTTTCTTCTTGTTGAGACATTAATTTTCCTTTGCTCTCTTTTAGCTGTCATTCATTTCATCGCATTTTTTCCCACCCTAATACGTGGACTCTGGCAGACGTTACCATCATTACCTTGCACATTAAATGTGGCAAATGAGTGTCTAGCAATTCTGTTTGTTCAAGGAAGAAAACAGGATCTGAAAATGCTTTAGGGGTGGGGTCCTTGCATGAAAGCTAAAACAAATATTACCTCTATGTCCCATATACCATTGTTAGGGATCAAACTGTCTCCCTCAAAGCTGTCGACTTGGGTCAGCCGTGATTCTCGGTCCTATGTCCTTACCCGATGTGCTGTAAACCCTACGCTCTCTGATGTAAATGAGGCAGGATTAGAGGCAGTGACGTCAAGGCGTGTGGTTACAATCTACCGGATTAGGTTATATCTTGAGTCAAATTCTTTTAAGACAGAAAAGAGATCAAACAAGGGAACAGAGATAAAAGGGATCCCAGTACCCCCAAGAAAGAAAAGCATGTCCTTTGGACCCAAGGTCCCTGTGCTGAGAACCTCTTAGACTAGGCAATAATTGATCTAAAGACACAGGAGCTCTCCCAGGAACTCTAGGCCCACCTATGAGAGCAGGAGGCAGGGAGCTTCCCCAAAGCCAAGAGTGAGACAGCCTTCTGATAGAGCTGCCACCTGGACTGCAGACTCCCATCTCCCCAGACTCGGACCGGCTACACTTCTGTTTATCAAAGACAACCAGTTGTGGTCTTGCGGTCACAGCAGCCCTAGAACACTCCTATGACAACCGCGGTGTGTGACTATAAACTCCTTGACCTGAAGGGCTGTTTAAATACAAATGGGAGGATTGTGGCTCAATATACTTTTGTGAATTAAATTGGACACTTCCGAGACCAGCTTAATGTCCTGCAGCTGGCAGTCCCAATTTAAAACATTTAACTTTTGTGACTTTGTGGGAGAGGGAACGCTCGTAGTATCAGATGTCTGGAAGTAAACCTGAACTTGGTGACTTCTGTAAACACTGGTTTTGAGGCTGTTTCCCACCTACATAGAACCATTTTTATAAACTGGTTAACCAGGAGTCCAGCTGCAGGAATGTTTGGATGTTTCCTTGTGGCAGGAATTCATTGTCAACTGAAACTTTAGGATACTATAGCAGAAAACAAAACAGAGCAACTCCCATGTGGGCCAGTGCCTCCCAACGCCATGTCCGGATGACTGAGGCTGCGGACGTGGATGGCCTGAGGCGTTAGAAGGGATCCTGCGGCTTCCATAGACTGGGGCGGATTCTCCGACTCAAAATGGCAGCAGGGAATGTAAGTGGGAGAATCAGTTCTTTTTTGTGTTTATACAGGGCATTGCATTTCAAATGAGACTTCTTATATTACAATGAGCACAACAGGGGTGCTCTAATGATTGTACTTTACCATAGAGCATCTCCATGATCCCTTTATTTTGGCAAATTGCTTTTAATCATCAACGGTGGCACTTCTTTTCTGGTAGTTAACGGTTAGCAATTCTGCCTTTTGAAGCATTTTTCCTTCTGCTGCCACAGGGCAAGCACACGGAGCTGCGGGTTGGGCTCCTCATGGCCTGCTGCACCCACGGGGTGTGTGTGTGTGTGTGTGTGTGTGTGTGTGTGTGTGTGTGTGTCCTATGTTGCTCCAGACTAGCTGAAGATTTTGTTTTGAATTTCAGTTTTTCACGTCATTGACACAAACTATCCCCTCTAACTCCTTTTTCTGTGAGTTGGGAAGGAAAGGAGGAAGAAAGAGAACCATGGAGATTTTTTTAAATTAAAAAATGTCAAGCCAAGTACAGTGTTCAATTAACTGTGGTTACCCCACGGTCTAACGATAGAAATCAATACTACATTAGCCAAAGACCATCCTTTCCAAAATGTTCTTCCTGTCACCTGGCATCTCTCTCCAGTACTATTCATGAGAATGCGGAGTGAGCTTACTGCCAGCTAAAGCCACCTCTAAGAGCCGAGGAAACGGAGTGCTGGTGGAAACACAAGCAGGGATGAACAAGGAGGAGGCGGAGGACGAGGACGGGAAAGGCCTTCTTAAAGCTAGGTTCTTTTGCCTTTAGCTTCCCGACTTACTGCCAGACAAAGCTCTAATTCTCTGAGCCTTTATGACTAAAGCGTGTTCACCTTGTGGATGTTGTTTTACATTAGACAGATAACACTTTTGTTAACCATACAGAGATGGAATTTCCTCGTAAAAAAAAAGCATTTTAAAGCGTAAAGGGGGTTGCTAACATCAAGTGCTGAGAGCACACATATTTATGTGGTTCCTGCTGCTCGTTGCTGACAAGTGGATTCTGATTGAAGTAGAAAGGCTGTGACCTTTGAGAAGCAGACTGCCAGGGTGGTCTTCCCAAATGTGCCTGGGTGGGTTCGAACCACCAACCTCTCAGCTGGTAGGCAAGCGTTCACCCGGCTTCTCCACCCAGGACCTCCTAACATCTTCGTAAGCGCATGCCGTTGTTTGTCTCTGCTTACCTCAGACATCTCGTGCACCAGCAAGAGGGGGATGCTGACTGTGGTGATGTCATGCGTACAGCAGACCTTGAGAATATTTCGGAGTCCCATAATGGCAGGGTGGCGGGCCGTGATGTTTCCAGACTTCACGTTGTCATCCACACATAGATGGAAGGCAACGTGGATTTCTGAGAGATTGGAATGCCGTGTAATGTAAAATTCTCCTGCGAACAACAGGTACAATAAGGACTTCCAAGTGCATAAATCAGATTCATCAATGGGCAAAGCTGAAAAGAGACGGAGCTGGATGCGAAGAGGTGTACAGAAACCTATCTGAGGCTTAAGAAGCTACTGTGATTAGAGCTCCTGGATTCTCGGAAGGGACATTATGCATTAAGTTCATAAATGGGTAGGAAGTGATCACTATGAAGTAAGACAATCAAGTGAGTACTCGTCATCTCTCTGATACGGAAATTGACAATGTCCTGTGTAACCCACTGTTAGCATGTTACTCCATGACATGTCTTCCTCATTCCCTACATGTGCTCTTCTCCCATTTAGAAGAGCAACCTCTAGCCATTCTGCTCAGGACTGAAACAGAAGAGGGGATTTGTCCTTAATTCTTTTCTTCCTCTCACTGCCTATTCCCCAATCTAATCCACCACTTCTAACTCCAACAAATAGCCCAAGTCTACCTTTTACACCATTATGCCAGCATCATTGCTCACTGCAATAGCCTAACTCACATTCTTGCCCTCATACAAATGATTTCTTCTAGCAGTCAAAAGGATAAAAATGTAAACCAGATCGTATCACTTCTCTACGCAATCTTCCAAGAGGTCTGCACCATCCGTGCCTGTGCTATGCCTCTAACGCCCTCTTGTTTCAATCTCTCTCCTTAGGCTCTTGCCACCCAGACTTCTGTTCAGGTCTCCAAACATGCAACATGCAGGCCACATTCAGGGCTGCTGCCTGAAAGTTTGTCTCTAAAATCCTCACCTGGCTGGCCTTTTTCAGCAGTCACAATACTAGCTCAGGTACCACCTTCTCAGAGAGCGACTGTGGCTCCCTAAGCCAATATAGGGCAGCCCCTCCCATTTGTGCACATGATCCTATTTTATCTTCTTCTAAGAACTAAAATAGTTTGTTCATCTAGGCTGTGTTAAGTTTTAAAAGCATTGCAAAAAAAAAAACATTGCAGTTTGAGCTCCGTGACACCCCACACACACACACACACATGCACACGTTTTAATCAATCTTATTTGATGATCTATCTCTAGCACACAGAACACCACTTGGCATAGAAAGAACCAATAAATACCTGCTAAATGAATGAATGGATGTTTTGGCCAATTGCTATAATAGTGCTCCTCAAACCTTTAAAATTCATGCTACTTACAATCACACCATTTTTTATGTAGACCCAGTAGCCAAGAATAATCTTATCATTTTTACTTTATAGTCATATTCATCAATAAATTAGAAAACACATAGAGAAAGTGTTTTCATAAATACACATGCCTAACTAGGAATCCTAGTATCTTGTTTTAGGAAACGTTTGCATGTCTCTACTTTATTTTTCTTTTATATTTTTAATCGTTTTATTAGGGGCTCATACAACTCTTAACACAATCCATCCATACATCAATTGTGTAAAGCACATTTGTA